ATAGTGTAACCGTCTAATGTATATATTAATAGAAATTTAACAATCATATTAAATCCAAGAAATAAAAAGATATTGGGTTCATAGGGTTGAGTTGGATTCAAATAATAGCAACCCAATACCTACGGTTTGAAAATTTTACAACTCGATTAGACATCGAGTTGCTTCGGGTTGAGTTATTTCATGTTGGGTTGGGTTGGGTTGGATTGATCAGGTTGGTCGGGTTTTTGAACACCCCTACCGGCAACTATGGCAAGATTGAGAGAAATTCAAAGAAATATTAGCAAAGATTTTATTTTAATTAAAGAGAGTTAAAAAATCATCGATCAAATAGGGATACGGCAAAAAAGAGGGGTCAAATGGATGAGCGTTATCACGTGCTAGTCTTAGGGCCGTTTTACCATCAAGATTCACGATTCTCGTTTATCTTATCTGGTAACACATCCGACCATCAGAATGGATTGGTGATAAACATCTCTTACCAGATAAATGCTAACCAGATAAGATTATCAATCCTTGTTATACCTCATACCAGGTAAGATTCTGTGTCCTCACCATACCCATCCAAAAAGATAAGTGACGTCTGGTAAGCGCGTACCGTTTGCACAAGATTTGGTCCTTCATGATGCCCAGTGGAGGCCAATCCACTACTCAAAACCTGTAAACTTAAGCATATATGCAAACAAACAACTACACCTGTCTTTTTTTATTCTTCATCTAAGATAGTTAAACAGATTATACATACATGCATACATATATGTATCTATATATATATATTTATATATATATATATGAGATAACTAGATGACAACACTAAAGTACATAATAAACAAACACTTTTTCAGAAACACATACATACAGATAACTGTATCAGACCATCTTCTACTAACCCCACTCTGTTACTTGCTCTCCCCTGCCTCCCATTCTCTTGCTTTATATATTTCAACAGCTGCTGTGTATCACCTCCGGCGCCGCTTTGTTCCCACCTGAAACATCAGAATCCATCTCATGCTTCGTTTAACTTTATACCCGTATTTGGTATCTACATGCTAAATTCGGGCTCAGATGGTATCGCCCAACAGCAAATCATCCATAAAGATTCATAACCAACTGCTAATGCATGGTTTTCTAAACATCAACAAAATGTAAAGATATAAACACACACACACACACACACGTGTATATATAAACACACAATGGGTTTGCAAAGAAGCTAAAGGGCCAGAGGTTCGAATGTTCAAAATGTAGATCATGCAGGGTGCGTTTGGTATGCAGACGAGACTAAACAAGACAGGACATGCAAGAGTGAGGTGGGTGGGTGAAAATATGGTGGAAGGTTTTAGAGTTTTAACTTGACAAGGGTAAAATAGTAATTTACCAATCTTATTATATCTCCGTATAGTTAGTCAGTTAGTAACAGATGATTAGAAATTAGTTACAGCACGTAATTTTACCATTCTACCCTTATACACATGTTAGCTATTACTACTGCACAACATCATAACACCAATACTCTTTGTTGCATTTTTACTCTCTTTCCCAAAATGCTATAACATTTTCCCTTATTTCCCAAATTGCACTTATATTTTAATGCAACATTCAAGTTCTAGAGGGGAAAACAATTGGAACTAAAATTTCCATATAGATAACAGCAAATCACCATATGCTTACGAGAATATAGATGTCTTTTAAGTTCCAAGAAACTATCCGAAAACTAAAATGTTGTATTTGATCCTCCAACGTCAAAACGAGTTCTATTATAAGTTTCATAGACGGAGAAACAACGATCGAGACAAAAATTCAACAAGCAATCCTCAAACATATAAAACCTAGCTTGATGTTTTGAGATAATTGAGTAATACGAAAGCATTAACATTGAAACTAAGATTTTCACGGAACTTGTGTGTGTGTATGTACACACACACACACACACACACACACACACACACACACANATTGTCACCGCCCGCCCCACCCCTACCTACCCACGACAACCAACCTTCATTGCTGCCACTACACGTCTTTGCCATAACCGCCACCCACACATCCCGGATTGGAATGACAAATTCTTTACAACTTTGCCGTCACAGCCGCCACCCCCACCCCACCACCACCACCACCACCACCACCACCACCATGCTGCTACTATCACCATCACACCGCCACCCACCATTCTCACGACCCCCATCCCACCTGTATTCCATTTGTTTTGCAAGATTCCGTTCTAATTTCTACCAATTAAACGCGTGATTAAATTAATTGCGATTCTTTTAAAGTAAACGTTTTTTTTATATATTACAATTCTACCAAATTCAATTTTATGAAGTTTCGGGGTTGTTTGGCAATTACTAAATGGTTTGGTACAGAATGATTAAGTGGTCAGAATGATTAATAGGCTCTCATGATATAATGCAAAATGAAATATAATTATTTGATAATTGTGTACAACGAAATTAGGGCTCTTAATGGTTAAGGGATATTCAGGTTACAAAATCATTCAGAGGGTTTTAGAACCATTAAGAAACATATTTTTTTTTACCAAACAAGATTCACCTCTTAACGATTCAGATGTTGCCTCTTAATAAAACTATTAAGAGAAAAACAAACAACCTCATTCTTTCTATGAACTTTGTCCTTTGTCCTTATCTATCACGAGAAGCCATTTGACTTCTTTAGATTTTCTTTCCAACTCTGGCGTTCATTATCATGAACTCTAAAAGTATCTTTTAAATATAAATTTATAAAAGTATAAAGTTTATAAAAGTGAATTACTTTTTTTTTGATGCAATTGAGCCGTTCATACATAATAACTAATTTAAAAAATATAAATTTCATAAACTTTTTTTTATTAACCTCGATGTCAACTCGCTATACGAGCTGATTAATCTCAAAGCGACCCCCTGTTTTACAGGTAGTTCGGAGTCGCCATATTTGAAACGACCACCTGTTTTGCTGGTAGTCTGGAGTTACCGTATTTGAACCTTCGTGGCCACAAGAAGATTTTTATTTCTCCTTAGATTTGAACCTGAGACCTCCAAACACTTTTGATCTTTAGAGCTCAATCTCAAACCAATCAAACACCACCCTTATGGTTAAATTTTATAAACTTGAATACGACCATAACTAGAAATGAAAATGGGTTGAATCGGTTTAGTTTTGGTTATAATTAATGGTTACTTAATCAGTTAATGGCAACCTATTGTGTTAACGAGTTATGTAAGACCCGTTTTTTTTTTTTTTAAATATCTAATATTTTCTTTATTTAGTATTTATTATATAAAAGCGTATTAAATTATAAATGAAATAAAACGTTATATATTTCAAATAATATTTTATTCATTTGATAAATTCAGTTGAATTCTAGATATACACATGTCAAAATCGTGCGAAACCATATATTGGATAACTCCAGTGCGGCACGAAGTCGTTGATGCCGAGTTGGCTCCTATACCGCTAGCTAGGTCATTGATTATTGCCCCCACTTAGGTTAGTTATACTTCCTTAAATATCAGGTTGCCGATGAAAACTTCAAAAACTCGTACAATCTTTTGAAACTTGTTTAAAACTTGTAACCGTCGATGGTCATCTACTAAAAATCACTTTATACAATCAGATCAATCGTAACAAAACGTTGCGAGTGCAAACAAATCCAGATCTATGTCTTGGGCATCCATTGGACTTACGATATATTGATTCCTTCCTCGTCATCGATGAAGGAGAGTTCATTATTCAATGATTCCATGTGATTCCCTTAGTCGTATCTATCATATTTAATTACTTGATACATACGAAATTATTATACGCCAACTTGAGAACCATGACCAGCGGTTCGAAAATGGGAAAAACTGTGAGATACCATTTTTTAATTTAAATTATTTCGAAAAACAAATTTTTTAACAAAACCGATAAGGAAACCTTACCCTGGCAACTAGGGGTGCTCATAGATTGGGTTGATTGGTTTGAATACATTTGAACAACCCAACCCAATGCTTGCGGTTTGAAAAATCTTAACCTAACCCAAAGTGCAACCCAATCCAACCCATACGGGTTGGTCGGGTTAATACTTTGGTACATTAAAATATTCTTTTAACCTTGAATATGTTATTTTTCTACTCATAGTTTCTTTTCATCATCAACCATTTGAAACAACTTATCCATACTTCTTACATATATCACATTGAGTTTGTTTTCTCAATTTACATATATATGTTCACAGTTATACGAATGAGTTATATAAAGATGTGAATAGATTGAAAATATGTGTACACGAAGAGCGTATGTGATAGTGTAACCGTCTAATGTATATATTAATAGAAATTTAACAATCATATTAAATCCAAGAAATAAAAAGATATTGGGTTCATAGGGTTGAGTTGGATTCAAATAATAGCAACCCAATACCTACGGTTTGAAAATTTTACAACTCGATTAGACATCGAGTTGCTTCGGGTTGAGTTATTTCATGTTGGGTTGGGTTGGGTTGGATTGATCAGGTTGGTCGGGTTTTTGAACACCCCTACCGGCAACTATGGCAAGATTGAGAGAAATTCAAAGAAATATTAGCAAAGATTTTATTTTAATTAAAGAGAGTTAAAAAATCATCGATCAAATAGGGATACGGCAAAAAAGAGGGGTCAAATGGATGAGCGTTATCACGTGCTAGTCTTAGGGCCGTTTTACCATCAAGATTCACGATTCTCGTTTATCTTATCTGGTAACACATCCGACCATCAGAATGGATTGGTGATAAACATCTCTTACCAGATAAATGCTAACCAGATAAGATTATCAATCCTTGTTATACCTCATACCAGGTAAGATTCTGTGTCCTCACCATACCCATCCAAAAAGATAAGTGACGTCTGGTAAGCGCGTACCGTTTGCACAAGATTTGGTCCTTCATGATGCCCAGTGGAGGCCAATCCACTACTCAAAACCTGTAAACTTAAGCATATATGCAAACAAACAACTACACCTGTCTTTTTTTATTCTTCATCTAAGATAGTTAAACAGATTATACATACATGCATACATATATGTATCTATATATATATATTTATATATATATATATGAGATAACTAGATGACAACACTAAAGTACATAATAAACAAACACTTTTTCAGAAACACATACATACAGATAACTGTATCAGACCATCTTCTACTAACCCCACTCTGTTACTTGCTCTCCCCTGCCTCCCATTCTCTTGCTTTATATATTTCAACAGCTGCTGTGTATCACCTCCGGCGCCGCTTTGTTCCCACCTGAAACATCAGAATCCATCTCATGCTTCGTTTAACTTTATACCCGTATTTGGTATCTACATGCTAAATTCGGGCTCAGATGGTATCGCCCAACAGCAAATCATCCATAAAGATTCATAACCAACTGCTAATGCATGGTTTTCTAAACATCAACAAAATGTAAAGATATAAACACACACACACACACACACGTGTATATATAAACACACAATGGGTTTGCAAAGAAGCTAAAGGGCCAGAGGTTCGAATGTTCAAAATGTAGATCATGCAGGGTGCGTTTGGTATGCAGACGAGACTAAACAAGACAGGACATGCAAGAGTGAGGTGGGTGGGTGAAAATATGGTGGAAGGTTTTAGAGTTTTAACTTGACAAGGGTAAAATAGTAATTTACCAATCTTATTATATCTCCGTATAGTTAGTCAGTTAGTAACAGATGATTAGAAATTAGTTACAGCACGTAATTTTACCATTCTACCCTTATACACATGTTAGCTATTACTACTGCACAACATCATAACACCAATACTCTTTGTTGCATTTTTACTCTCTTTCCCAAAATGCTATAACATTTTCCCTTATTTCCCAAATTGCACTTATATTTTAATGCAACATTCAAGTTCTAGAGGGGAAAACAATTGGAACTAAAATTTCCATATAGATAACAGCAAATCACCATATGCTTACGAGAATATAGATGTCTTTTAAGTTCCAAGAAACTATCCGAAAACTAAAATGTTGTATTTGATCCTCCAACGTCAAAACGAGTTCTATTATAAGTTTCATAGACGGAGAAACAACGATCGAGACAAAAATTCAACAAGCAATCCTCAAACATATAAAACCTAGCTTGATGTTTTGAGATAATTGAGTAATACGAAAGCATTAACATTGAAACTAAGATTTTCACGGAACTTGTGTGTGTGTATGTACACACACACACACACACACACACACACACACACACACACATATATATATATATATAGTTACCTTCAAATCTGTATGTCTAGAAGTAGCATGAGAATTTTGGAGCAGCTTTTGCTCTTCAGATGAGCAGTTCTGACAGAAGAAATGCTCAAGTTGTTTGGCCTGCTCTGGCGCCATGTCTATACAAGCAGGATGAAACCTGAGTATCCATAAACAACAAAAATTTAACATTTTATTTTGCAATGTAAAATACGAAAGTACAACCATGGAGACCATATCAGTCATCCAAATATTGAAATATAATACAAGGCATAACGATTGGTAAAACACTAGATGGATGACCAACCATACATCATAAGACCTTAACTTTCACGACTATTTTTCCTTTGCTAACCTTAATTTTCTGGAAGAATAATAGATTTTGGACTACGAGAAAGAAAAACACGAATGGCTGCTAACATTGTTTCATCCAGCTGGTTCTACAGATACGATGCTTTCTCTATAAAACCCTATAAAGATTATGTAGAACTACTTATAAGTTTATTTCCAGTTTGTGGTATAAGAATTCAGAAGTACAAGTCCTATCCTTGATCTTAACTGCTACAGTAACTTTTGCTCCACCAAATATATGTTAAAATCCTGCAACTTGTTGCAAAGAACACAAATTGATATTCTTCCCTTCTAGTCCTACGAGAATTCAAGTATTGTATACGTCATTAGTCTGATCCTTTGTAGGAACTACCCGAGTACCCGTAATAACGAACTTGCAAAACGGATCTGTTTATCATAAAGAGATTCGTCGTCCCTGACCCTGCTTCACCTTAACTGTTATTTGAACAAGTAAAAGTTCTAAATTTAATGGTCACTATAAAGTAAAAGTTCTAAATTTAATGGTCACTATAAAGTTTGAGACTATAAATTCTTCGTTATCATGTGTTTAGATGTCATCATGTGACAGGATGCGATTCACACAATATTCTTTTGAATGTTCCTTCCATTTTGGCCTATTTTAGTTGATAAAAGCAAGTGCCCAGATTTATCTGATTCTGAACAAGTTCATTACCCAAAAAAGAGCCAAAACATTTGGCTACTATTTCAACAATCACAAGTTGGTTCCATAAGACGAGATAGCTACACTTGTCCTTCCAATATCGTTCATGTTTCCCAATATACTTACATAGCCTACTTTCTCAATCTGTAAAACGTTACCAAGTTGGACCTTTGGGTACAAAGTTGATTACTCAAGCTTTATGACTACAAATTTTCGTGTTCCATCATTGATTCACACTTCCTCTGCCTAAATCCAATTGCTTCATTGCCTTTTCTAGAGTTGGGCATCTAATGGAAGAAGCAAGTTTAGCCAAGAAGGTGATTACTAAAGATTTCTTGATTTCTTCAAGTAGGTCAACTAAAAATACCGATTATGTATAGCAATATTGTAACTCTCATAGTCTTGACCATAGTGAGATGCTATTTCATCAAGCATGATAAGAAGTTGAGAACCATCCATATCCAAGCATGCCTTACTTTACGCATAATTTAGCAGATATATATATATATATATATATATAGAGAGAGAGAGAGAGAGACTTGGGATCATGTGAGACCAATGGTTTTTCGTGAGACCCATAAGACCAATTCACAACCTTTGGATTAGATCTATAATATGAAAATCTAAACATTCATAAATACCACGAGACTTCTCAATAATCACAAAATTGCCATCGTGCAATTTAAACCATTAGATCATTCACTTATAAAGTTGATCAATGAATATAAATTGGTCTTACGGGTCTCACGAAAAACCTTTGGTTTCCTCTGAACTTGACCCTATATATATATATATATATATATATATATATATATATATATATATGTATACACATATGAACCTTCCCTAAACTTTCCCTTACCTTCTCACAATATTTTTTCTTCTTATTTGAACCAGCCCCTATATATAGGGTCAAGTTCAGAGGAAAACCGCAAAAAAATGAAAAAATGAGGAACACCCTGGTAACAGTTCATCTCTGGATGGTATGCACATGTGTGTACAAGTAACCTATAAGCAATTTGTCCGGTATGCACATGTGATGCACATGTGTATAAAAACCAAGAAACAACTTCAATTACTTGTATGCACATGTGCATAAAGTCCAAATGAACGGTTACCGGTTTTTCAACTTTTTGAAGTTTTCCCCTGAACATCCCTATATATATGCTGGCATTTCTCATCTTTATAGGCAATAAATATAACATGTATGCGATATATTCGGAAACATACAAAAGCCAATCACCAAGAATTCCAACAAAGGAACTGAATTTAACTTAACTCGAAGATCAAAAAATGCAACATTAGCAACCTTATGTTTTCGTTATCGTTACCATAAAACGCAACCTACCAATCAGTGCAGCCATCGCATTGAACCATCAAGTCATCAGGATTATAAGGCATCTCACACTTACAGTACCTGCCATATTAACACAAACCAGTTTAATTAATCAACCCCATACCTACAAATATTTAAAGTTAGTAATACCAATCTCAAATTACGAAGAACACTTGATCCCAAAATCAATCAACAGTCACAAGAGAAACCATAACGAAATCAAGATACATTTGAAGGGAATGGAAATTCATGATTTCGCAAGAATTCATCAGAAAAGTAAATAGAAGTAATGGAAGACATAACAAATACGGTATACATACACGGCCACTCTATCGGGATTGAAGGCTCCAGTGGAGGAATTATACTCGAATCGGCAAAAAAAATCTTCATTACCAACGGCGTCAAGCTTTGTATAGGTTTTGAAAGTGTGAACCGTACACTTTCCTTCGATTGTATCAGCACTCTGCACATCATGGTGATCGGAGAGAAACACCTCTTTGATGCCGTGAAATTGTCTCCGTCCGCCGATCGATTCCTCCGGTCGATAGTACCACTGTACGTGAACTTTCACGTTAGCTCCTCTGGCATCCGATTCAATCTTCTCCACTTTGGCTACATACGACGGCTTCGATGGTTCGGAAGGTCGCATCAACACGCAATCGCCGGCTGATTATGATATGTAAGAAAAGAAAATGAAAAAAAAAACCAAATCGTTAGAATAAATCGGGAGAAAATGGAAGATGGATTGAAAGAGAATCGATAGAAGATACGTTTGATTGATTTATTGATTCCTTTGGCGGTATAAGAATCTAGGGTTTTTCTGGTAGCTCGGGCTTTCGCCATGGACTGATGATGACTTCAGACAGACATAAGAACACGATGGAAAATCAGAGACAAGGTTTTTCCCCAGTCTTTTTTTTTTTTTCTTGGAGTAAATTACGTTTTTTGTCCCTGTAGTTTGTTAAAAATTGTGGTTTTTGTCGCTATGTTTTTAACATTACAATTTTGGTCCCTGTTGTTTGTAATTAATTGCTATTTTAGTCCTTATGTTTAAGTTATTGTTGTTTCGATCTCTGTCTTTTTTTAACGAGATGATCTCCTCTAAAGAAACCTTTACTCTTTGCGTATTTCTTGCCCAAATGTAAACCTTTTCTTCGATCGTACACCTGACTACACAGTGGAGCGGAGATTAATTTACGACATCTTTTTCTAAATCCAAACACTTATACTTAAACATTAAACATGTGTTTGATAAAAAATAAATAAATAAAAAACTTGATAAAATTAAAATACGCATCATGAACGTGGTGTTTAATGGGACAAATTTAACGCCTTAATGGTCGGGGATGATTTTTGCAATGAGATTGAAACCTTAATTGTTTCCGTAATTTTGAAAAACAGAGGTGGATATCAAAATTTTGGTAAATTTTACGACGAATTTTTGTAACTTAATCTTTTTTCATCGAGAAAATGGAGTTATAAATTACAGTCAAAGTGCAGTGATGTATGTTTTTTTTATTATTATAATCCATTAAAGAGTAAATTATATTTTTGATCCTTACGATCATCATTTGTTATCACTCTAATTTTTATTTTAAATTAATTACATTTTTAATTATTATAGTTATAATCTCTTTTATTTGCGGTTCCTCCATCTAACTTTTTTTTTTCTCAAAAACTCCACCAGTTAAAGGAAACTTTTCGTCTTTTATTTACAATTAATAAAATAAATACATATCTATACTATATTATAAAACATTTGACAAAAAAATACTATTAAAAACATTTTTTTATGCACGAAGTATTGTTTATTGATGCATATTACTTCAAATTTAATATTACAAGTAAATTATGCATAAGTACARCTTATTAAAGCTCTATACTTGAATTCGTCTAACTAACTGCAGATAAACATAATCAAATA